ATGATGTCAGAGGTTTGGGGTAGAGATCCTAAGTCAGTTTAAATGAGTTACCTTCTAGTCTTAGTTTTCTGAAGGTTTTTATCGTATAGTAATGTTGAACTTTGTCAAGTGATTTTGTCGTATCTGTATTTTTGCCTATATTCATTTAATGTGGTGAATTGCCCACGAACCGTGAGATCATGACCTGAGCTGAAGTCAGACGCTTAACCGACTGAGCCATCCAGGGACCCCTGAATTACATTGCTTTTTAAAAGAAATGCATGAGGGGCGCCTGGGTGGCGCAGTCGGTTAAGCGTCCGACTTCAGCCAGGTCACGATCTCGCGGTCCGTGAGTTCGAGCCCCGCGTCGGGCTCCGGGCTGATGGCTCGGAGCCTGGAGCCTGTTTCCGATTCTGTGTCTCCCTCTCTCTCTGCCCCTCCCCGGTTCATGCTCTGTCTCTCTCTGTCCCAAAAATAAATAAGTGTTGAAAAAAAAATTAAAAAAAAAAAAAAGAAATGCATGAACCTGCATTTCTGGGATAAACCCTACTTGGTCATGATGTTTTTTTTTTTTTTTTTAAATATATGGTTAATTCTAGTTGCTAATAATTTGTTAAGGATTTTGTATCTATGTTCATGAGAATTACTGGCTTATACTATTTTCTTGTGTTGTCTGTCTTGTTTTGATGTGAGATTAATATTGGCCTCAAAAAAATGAGTGGAGAAATCTTCTGTCGTCATGTACTTCCTGAATGTCTATGTAGGAGTGGTGTTATTTCTTCCCTAATGTTTGATGGAATTCACCAGTGAAGACATCTGGACCCAGGGTTTTCTTTGTTGGAAGATTTTGAATTACAGAAAAACATTAAATGTATATGTAGGGCTATTCAGGTATTCTGTTTCTTCTTCAGTCACTTTTGGAACTTTTTTCTTTCAAGAAATTTGCCCATTTCATCTAAGTTATCAAATGTGCTGGCCTCAAATTGATCTTAGCATTATTTCATTATTTATTTATTTATTTACTTATTCATTTATGTATTTATGTATTTATTTAGTTTCATTTGTCTTTCTTTTTTCCTTTCTTTCTCTTTCTTTCTTTATCTCTGTCCCCCTCTCCCTCTTTCTTTCCTTTTCTTTCTTTCTTTCTTTCTCTTCCTTCCTTCTTCCTTCCCTCCCTCTTCCTTTCCTTTCCTTTCCTTTCCTTTCCTTTTCTTTTCTTTTCTTTTCTTTTTTTCTTTTCTTTTCTTTTCTTTTCTTTTCTTTTCTTTTCTTTTCTTTTCTTTTCTTTATTATTGTTTTTCTTTCCTGTCGATCTGGCTACCAATCTGGTACCATTAATTCAGTTTGAAGAACTTACTTTAACATTTCTTGAAGTACAGATTTCCGAGTGGTGAATTATTTCAGTTTTTGTTTATCAAAAAAGTCTTTATTTTGCCTTCAGTTTTTCCATGTGAGCCCTTTTTGAAAATGCCTTTTTGGAAGTATAATAGACATACATTTAAACTGCATATTTGAAGTATGCACCATGATAAGTTTTGATATATGTATACATCCATAGAACCATCACTGTAGTCAAATGAAGTAATACATCCATCATCTTCAGACGTCTTTGTGCTCCTTTGTAATTTCTTTTCCTGTCCCTCCATTACGTATCTTTTGGCAACCACTGGTCTAGAATTTTTGTGTAAATGTAGTCATACGGTGTGTACTCTTTTTTGTGTGGCTTTTTCCCCCATTCAGCGTAATTATTTTGAGATTGATCCATGTTACTGTGTGTCCAAATATTGGTTTATTCCATCCTATTGATAAGTAGGACTCCACAGTAAGGACATACCACCGTTTATCTGTTTATTGTTGATGGATGTTGCGTTGCTTCCCGCTTTGGGTTGTTACAAATGAAGTTACGATGAACATTCATGTACACGCCTTTTTGTGAACACACGTCATCGTTTCTTTGCGGCGATGGACTACATTGTGTCCCCACCCCTTCACATGTTGAAGCCCTAACCCCTAATATGACTGTATAGGGCCTTTACAGAGATAATTAAGGTTAAATGAGGTCATAAAGGTCAGGCCCTAATCCAGTAGGACTGGTGTCCTTAAGAGAAAAGGAAGTGACATCAGAGCTTCCTCTGGGCTGCACAGAGTAAAGGCCACATGGGGACCCAGCAAGAAGTAAGAGTCTTCATTCCAAGGAGAGAGGCTTTGCCAGAAACCAACCGTGCTGACACCTTGCTCTTTGACTTCCAGCCTCCACAACTGTGAGATAACAGATGTCTGTTGTTTAAGCCACCCAGCTGCTGGGACTTTTTTATGGCAGCCTGAGCAGACTACGACATTGGGTAAATAGCTGGGGTTGGAATGACTGGGTCATATGCCGGTGTACGTTTACCTTTTAAAGAAACTTCCAGTTTTCCACATGGTTGCCCTATTTTACACTCCTGTGAACCTTGTGTGAAGGTCTCATTGCACTGCACCGTAGCCAACACTTGCTATGATCAACCTTTTAAACTTTAGCCATTCTGAAGTGAGTGTAGGGCATCCCACCGTGGTTTTGATTTGCATTTCCCAAACGATTAATGATGTTCAGCATCTTTTCATGAAGTTCTTTGCCATCTGTATACATAGATTTTTTGGATGAAATGTCCAGATTTTTTGCCCATTTTTTGGAAGAGCAGATTTTAAAATTTTTGATAGTTTAATTTCTCAGTGTTTTTCTTTTCTGATCATGCTGTTGGTGTCATAGCTAAGCAAACTTTACCTAATCTAAGGTCACAAAGATTTGCTTCTGCATTTACTTTTGGAGTTTGTGGGCTTTGGGGCTTTATATTAGTCTGTGGTCCATTTCATATTAGTTTTTGTACATGGTACGAGGTATGGATGGAAATTCATTTTCTCGCATGTGGATATTCAGTGTTCCTGCAACATTTGTTGAAAACAATACCCATGCCTTTATAACTGTGGAAAAATAGTTGACTAAATATGTGTAGATCTATTTTTGTAATGTCTCTTCTCTTCCGTTTCTTTCTTTGTCTATCCTTACACCAGTACCCCATTGTTTTCTTATTTTAATCCTTCTCATTATTTTCATTGTAATCTGATGAGTTTTGAAATCAGGTAGTATAAGTCTTCCCATTTTTTTTTTCTTTTTCAAAGTTGTTTTGACAGGTCTAGGTTCTTTGCATTTACATTTCGATTTTACAATCACTTTGTCAATTTTCTACCAGAAAAAGGCCTGCTTGAACTTTGAACGATATTGTATTTGATCTACCGATCAATGTTGGAGGAGAGTTGAATTCTTAACAGTTTTGAGTCTTTCAGTCTATGAGCATAGAATACTTCTCTGTTTATTTAAATCTAATTTAATTCTCTCACTAATGTCTTGTGGTTTTCACTGTATAGCTCTTCCACATTGTTATTAGATTTATCCCCAAGTATTTATATTTTTATGCTTTTGTAAGCAGTATTTTAAAATTCCAGTTTCTGGCCTGCCTGGATGGTTCAGTTGGTTAAGTGTCTGACTTTGGCTCAGGTCACGATCTCACGGTTTGTGAGTTTGAGCCCTACATTGAGCTCTGATGTCAGCATAGAGCCCACTTTGGATCCTCTGTCCCCCTCTCTCTGGCCCTTCCCTTCTCTCTCTCTCTCTCTCTCTCTCTTTCAAAATAAATAAACTTCAAAAAGTTAATAAAATTTCAGTTTCTGATTGTATGTTGTTAGTATATAGAAATATACTGATACTTGTGTATTCACCTTGAATTCTGTAACCCTAAGTCACTTATTAGTTCTAGTTGCTTCTTTGTAGATATTCTTGTATTTTCTGCAAAGATGATCATGTCATCAGTGAATAAAGGCAGCTTTAATTCTTCTTTTCCAATCTGGATGCCATTTCTTCCTCCCGCACTCCCTGCCTTGCCTTTCCTTCCTTCCGGCTTATTGTGTTGGCTTAAACCTCTAGATGTATGTTGACTAGAGGTGGTGGGGGTGGAAATCCTTGCCTTGTTCTCAGTATTAGAAGGGAAGCGTTCATTCTTGTTCACAGTTACATACGTTAGCCATGTGCTTTGTAGATGCCCCTATGAATTTGAGGACCTTCCCTTTTGTTCCTAGTTTGTTGAGAGTTGTTATTGTGAATGAGCGTTGGATTTTGTCCGTTGCTCTTCTCACATCTGTTGAAAGGATAATATGTTGTTCTTATGTACTCACTTAATATAGTGGATTTTCTCAATAGGGTTTTCAGATTTTAAAAATAACCTTGCATTCTTGGGATAAGTGCCCCTTGATCATGGTATATTATCCCCTTTATATAATTTGGGATTCTGTCAGCTAAAGTGTGTTCAGGATTTTCACATCTGTGTTCAAAGGGATACTGATCTGCACTTTTCTGGTATATCTTTGTCTTGTTTTGGTATCAGGGCAATGCTGGCCTCATAGAATGAATTGGGGACTGTCCCTTCTCCCCAGTTTCCTGGAAGAATTTGTTTAGAGTTGCTGTTTTTTCTTCTGTAACATTTGCTGGAATTGACTAGTGAAGTCGTCTGAGACTGAAATTTTCTTTTGGGGAAGATTTAAACCTCAAATAAGATTTGTCTAATAAATATAGGGTTATTCCAAGTGTTCTTCTTCTCTGAGTGACCTTCGGTAGTTTGTGGCCTTCAAGGAGATTTTTCTTTCACCGAGGTTATCTAATTTTTTGGCATAAATTTTTTCATCATACTTATGTTATTATATATAATGTGCAGTGACGTTACCTCAGTTCTCTCATTCCTGATATTGGTAATTGTGTTTTTTCTCATTCCCTCTGATCAGCTATCTGGAGGCTTATTAATTTTGTTGAGCTTTTCAAAGTTCCAGATTTTTGTTTCATTGATTTTTCTCTGTTTCTTTTTTCCTTTTAAAAAAAAACAATGATTTCTTTTATCTTAATTACTTCCTACTGCTTAAACCTTGGCTTTAGTTTTATCTTCTTTTTCTAGTTTCTTAAGGTGGAAGTTGAGGCTTTTATTTTTTCTCTAACACAGATGTTCAGTGCTAAAGGAGTCCCCCCTTGTCCACAGGGGGTACGTTCCAAGACCCCCAGCAGATGCCTGAAACCACAGGTAGTAGCGAACTCTGTATATAGTACATGCTGTATTTCCATGCCTATGATAAAGTTTCACTTATAAATTAGGCACAATAGTAGGTGGACAACAATAACTACTAATAAAATAGAACAATTATAACGACGTAATGTAACAGTAGAGTGAGTTACATGAACGTGGTCCTTCTCAAAATATCTTCTTCTCCTGTACCTAGCCTTTTTCTTGTGACAATGGGAGATGGTAAAATGCCTGTGCCATGAGATGAAGCCAAGTGAGTGATGTGCACACGGTGTTGTGGGAAGAGGCCACTGCCGACCTTCTGACAGTTCGTCAGAAGGAGGATCGTTTGCCTCCAGAGCGTGGTCGACCACGGGTGGCTGAAACTCTGGAAAGAAAAACCTCCGGCAAGGGCGGGGGCGGGTGGGGGTGGGGGGGGCTGTTAATTTCCCTCTGGGCTTTGCAGCCACATTAGACAACTGTTGCTGTATTGTGTTTTCATTTTTATTCAGTTAGAAATACTTGCTGATTACCTTTTTTATGTCTGCTTGGTCCATGGATCACATAGGAGTGTGCTATTCAGATGCAACATACTTGGGAGTTTTCCAGATATCTCTTATTGATTTTTCATTTAGCTCTGTTGTGGCACAGAACACACATCGTATGTTTGAATCCTTTTAAGTTTATTGAGACTTGTTTGACGTCCTAGAATGTGGTCTATCTTGGTAAATGTTCTGTGTGTAATTGAAAAGAATGTTTATTCTGCTGTTGTAGGGAGTAATGTTCTATACATCTCAATTAGACTGAGTTGGTAAATAGCATTATTCAAGGCTTCTATATCCTTTCTGATATTTCTGTCCATTTGTTCCCTTAGTTAAGAGCAGCTGGTTGAAATTTGTGACTAGAGGAGTGAATTTGTCTTATTTCCCTTTTTTTAAAAAAATTTTTTCTTAATGTTTATTTTTGAGAGAGACAGAGCGTGAGTGGGGGAGGGGCAGAGAGAGAGAGAGAGCCGAAATCCAGAGCAGCCTCTAGGCTCCGAACTCCGAGCTGTCAGCACAGAGCCTGACGTGAGGCTCAAACCCACGAACTGTGAGATCATGACCTGAGCCGAAGTCAGACACTTAACCAACTGAGCCACCCAGGTGCCCTGTCTTAGTTCCCTTTTTAAGTGCTATTTGTTTTCCTTCATTTATTTTGAGGGTCTGTTATTAGGTGAATAACTGTTGAGGATTGTTATGTTTTCCTGATGAATTGACTTTTTAATCATTACGAAAAGACTCTTTATCCCTGGTAATATTCTTTATTCTGAAGTCTACTCTGTCATTAACCTAGGCTTTCCTGGTTTACTTTGATTACTGCTACATGATACATCTTTTTCCATGTTTTCTACTTTTAACCTATGTGTGTCTTTATATTTCAAATGTGTTTCTTGGGGTGCCTGGGTGGCTCAGTAGGTTGAGTGTCCGACTTCAGCTCAGGTCATGATTTCACGGTTCACGGGTTCGAGCCCCGCGTGGGGTTCTGGGCTGACAGCTGGGAGCCTGGAGCCTGCTTCCGATTCTGTGTCTCCCTCTCTCTCTGCCCCTCCCCCACTCATGCTCTGTCTCTCTCTACCTCTCAAAGAAACGTAATAAAAAAATTTTTTTAATGTGTTTCTTGTAGGCAGCACTTTGGTTGGATCTTGATGTTTTAGTTTAATTCTGTATAATAATCTTTTCCTTCGAACTAGTGTATTTATCCTATTTTAATTAAATGCAATCATTGGTATGGTTGGGTTTAAATTTGCCATCTTGCCATTGTTTTTGTTACATCTATTCTCTTTTCTCCTTTTTTTGTTTTTGTTTTAACCCCCCTCTTTTCTCTTGGATTAATTTAGTGTTACTTTCATCTTATGTGTTTTGTTGCCTTTTTATTTAAAAAAATTTATTATTTTATTTTACTTTTTGAGAGAGAGAGAGAGAGAGAGAGAGAGAGAAAGAGTGTGGGGGAGGGGCAGAGAGAGAGGGAGAGAGAGAATCCCAAGCAGGCTCCACACTGTCAGCACAAAGCCGGATGCAGGGCTTGAACTCACAAACCATGAGATCATGACCTGAGCCGAAATCAAGAGTCAGACACCTAACTGACCGAGTCACCCAGGCACTGCTGTTGTTTTTGGCTTTTTTAGTCTTTGGATTTGTGTCGTGGTTTATTTTTAGTGGTTGCTTAGAGTTTATAGTCTACATCTTTGTCTTATCAGCCTGTGGTCAAGTATTGAATCTCTTTTTATATTGTATAAGCATTTCACAATATGCAGATTTCCAGTTTGTCCCTTCTTAATCTTTGTGCTATTGTTGGCAGACATTTTCTTTGTACATAAATTACAGTCCCCACAACACACTGTTATTATTTTTGTTGGAAACAGCAAATTATTTTGAAAATACTTTAATAATAGAAAAGTATGTCCTATTTCCCCCACATAGTTATTATTGCCATTGCTTCTCAATCTTTTATGTTGATTCCAGTCAGTGTAATTTTCTTCTTGCCTTAAGGACTTACAATTTTTGTTTTCAACGGTCACGCATATTTCAAGGAACTTAATGGGAGAAAAATGGTGTTTTGTATTTACCCAATCACATGCCGTTTCTTCCTTCATCCCTGGAGTTCTGACTTTTCCTCTGCTATTATTACTCTTTAGCCTAAAAACTGCCTTTAGCATTTGTTGTACATAGAGCAGGTCTGCTGACGATAGATCGACTTGGTTTTTCTTCCCCTGGGAAGGTCTCCATCCCACCTTCATTTCTGAGGATATTTCTGTGTCTGTAACAGCCTGGGCCGACACTCCTTGTCAGTGCTTTCACTGCGCCCACGGTCTTCTGGCCTCCATAGTTTCTGGCAAGAAGTCTGTCAGAACAGACACGGACTGCTGTCCCGTGATGCTTCATTTTTCTCCCCTGGGGGTTCCAAGGTTTGTCCTTTGAACTTTGCAGCAGTTTGATTGTGATGTGTGGGGCTTGATTTTCCTTGATTTTATCTCCTTTGTGGCTTGTGGAGCCTCTTGACTCTGAGTTTATGCCTTTTACCAAGTTTGGGCACTCTCAGTCAACAAGTGTATATATTTTCTCTGTTCTGCTGTCTTTCCCCTCTCCTTTAGGAACTCCCATGACAAAAATACTTAGGCTTTGATAGGTCCCTAAGGGTCTATACGTTTTTCCTTCGGATCGTATCATTTCCGTTGATCTGTCTTCGAGTTCACGGAGTCTTTCTCACTCCCGTTTTGTTATTGAGCTTATTCTTTGTTGTTGTTTTTTTCCAGTTCTAAAATTTCCATTTAAAACAATATGTAGTTTCTATTCTCTGTTGCCACCATCTATCCATTCATTTCAAGAGTGTTTGTGTTTATGTCATTGAGGATTATTATAATAGCCGTTAATTATATCTGATGATTCCAACATCTAGGTCACTTCAGGGCGATGTCTATCATTTCTCTTTTATAGTGCTTACTATTTACATTTTCCTAGTTCTTTATATGTCAAGTAATTTTGGAATATATCCCACGCATTTTCAATATTAGAAGATCCTGGACCCTATCACAGGCCTATGAGAATAGCAATTTGTCTTAACAGGCAACCAAGCCTGTTAGATTCAGTTTGCAGGTTCCTTCTCCCTTTTGTCGGGCGGTGGTTCTATTTTCTTTGCAGTATTCAAACTCTTTGTGATGCGGGGCCACTAACGGGTTGGTTTCAGACTTGGGCAGTGGGTATATGGTATTCTGCTTCCCAGAGCTTCGGCTGTGCTTCTGTGATTGGACTCCGTGAATGTATTGCTTAGGGATTGTCCCGGGGTGCATGTCAGTTCACACGAAGAACTAGAGGATTCTCAGCTCTGTCCTCTTGGAATCTCTCCCACGCGACGTGGCTTCCTGGGTCCTCCTTTCCTGGTCCTTCTGCCCAGAGAAATGACTTTGTCTCAGACTTAGTCTTCTGTCTTGTCACAGTATCTGTAACGGGGATCCCTTTCAAGACGAAGTACCCAGAGAAAATAGAGGAAAAAAGAAATGTGGATCTTCCTTACCGTTTTCATAATAAAGGCCCTTTCCCCAGCTCTTCTATTCAGATGCTTGCTCTCTAGGTTTTAGGTACTCGAACCGCACCCCCAGTGCACGGCAGAACTGCTGTTGGGCTGGCATTGGGTCAGCGCAGGAGAGCAAACAGACACATTGGAAAATGTCCCCCATAGTCTCTGGCTTACCAGGGCCCATTTTCTTGTTCCTTTGACCAGAACGACAGATTAATATCGGAGTTTTTGCTGTTTGTGCCCACCATGTAGTTACGTTTTTTTTCAGTAAGTCCACTAGTCAAAGTCAGGAGTGAAGAGACCGCAAACGAGCCACCCCCATCCCTACGCCCCACAAACCTAGGACCTTATTGATTTCCCTCCCCAGCCCACTTGCTGTTACTTACTCTCGAAAGCCTTCAGGTAGTTGCTTCTTGAACTTTGTCCGGAGCTTTTAGTTATAATTGGCGGGCGAGAGTAAGAGGCCATCGTGGGCTTACTCCGTTTTGGGTTAAAACTAGATTTCATCTTTAAATCCGGTCTGTTTTTCTCACTGGTATATTTTGAATGATTTCAGTTGCTATGTCTTCTAGTTCACTAATGGTTTTGCAGTGTCTCATTTGCTATTAACACCACCTAACGTATTTTTCATCTCAGACATTGTGCCTTTCAGGCCGACGTCCTCCACGTCTCTACTAACCGTGATCAGTCTTTCCTCCGTTATAGGTACCGGTGTGGTGCCGACATCTGTCATCTGTGTCACTTTTGCTTATCTGGGTTTGAAGACCATAATCTGAGTGATGTGGTTGCTCCTTGTTTCTAGGCCCTTTCTATGGACAGAGCTAGGAGATGTTTCTGTTATTAAGAAAAAGTACATCAGGGGCACCTGGCTGGCTCAGTTGGTAGAGCGTGCGACTCTTAATCTTAGGGCTGTGAGTTCAAACGCCATGTTGGGTGTACAGATTACGTAAACAAAATCTTCAAAA